CCCCCCCGCCCCCCGATCCAACAATCGAATCAGGTCCACACTCACGTAGCGCTGACCTCCTCCTCCTGGGCAAGTAGAGGGCACGTGCGGGAACCCACTGACGAGGCTTGACTGAAGCCCCCCGGTCGACTACAGTAGGACTGCTGCTGGGAGCTACTTCCGCCCTCGCCGCTTGCATCCCTCCGCTTCTCCACCTCGATGCCCATGGCCTTCAGCACGAAGTTTGCTGCGCTTGCTCCCCCCACAACGGCAGTCCCACTACTCGTCCCTACCGGCCGCGCCGGCATATCCGATGTTGTTGGCGTTACCGCTCCCTCGTCTCCTTTGCCCGCCATGAGACGGGAGTCGTACCCTACGACGAGGAGGACCTTTTCGCCGTAGTCTTCGCGAGGGGCCGGGCAGGTCGCGCAGGGCCTCTCGAGGTGGCGGAACATCGCACTCCTCGTGGGGAACTGCTCCGAGCAGAAGCTGCATGTCGTGACCGGCGGGGCGCGTGTGGGTGATGATGGTGTTTCCGAAGTGCGGTCTCCCGCTGCCGCCTCCGAAGGCGCTGCCTCTGGGTCCAGAGGCGTCATTGAGCCGAGCACTTGAGCCACTCGTGAGTGAGATGTTGGTGGTGGTCTTCAGTTGTCGGTGGTGTTGCTGTGCTTAGTCGTGGCACAGTAGTATGGGTACTGCTGCTGTAGTACAGCCAGACTGCTGTGGTTGGTAACGATGCCTCTGCGAGTGCGTCGTAGGCGAAGGCGAAGGCTTCTCAAGAGTCTTCTCCTTCACTGTTGATCGTGCATAATCAAAAGGCGCTGTGTCAACAAAATATGAAACAGAACAGCACGGCTATCACACTGCACTGCTCACTACACTGCCATGGGTGGTGACGGTGCCGCCCTTCGCTCTGCGCTGCTTGCTTCAGCAGAGGACACATGATGGGGCCACGCAGATACCTTACGGCAACATGCGCATACACCAGACCCAGAGTTTGAGTTTGTAGGACCCCTTAATTCCGAACCAGTGGCACCACAACACACCAGCCGTTGCAGTGCGCGGCGCACTGAATGCTGTGAAATGGAAGACGGAAAGGGCGACGTTGGAGTGGACCCGGACATGGACGATGATTCAGACGACGAGGTGTCTCTGCTGGTTGTGGACGAGGACGAGCTCAACACAACCTTGAACGAGGCTGGTATTCAAGTCAAGGTTAGTTGTTGCATGACAGACAGGTAGGCATGGATTGTTGTTGTGCATCATTGGAAATGTACCCCTACACCTCAGCTCATAGAGTCTCGCCTTTGGGGCGGCTATGTAGCTCCGTCTCTGGCATTTGAACTGCCCCGTTGTGCATGTGTACGACTGCGTGTGGTGTACGTGGCGCACTTTTTTTTTTTGAGAACAAACTCCTCAGCAGCCCTTCGAATACGTTCCGGCGCCAGTGAAGCTTGCCTTCCTTGCCAACCTTTGTCTTTCCTTCCGCGCCAGGTGGACAAGGAAGGAAGCTCTGTAGAAGTGAGCGTCCTGAGCGAGGACGTCTCTACCTTCCTGATGTTTGCTCCGGAGGAGGAGTACCTCGGCGCCAAGGTGAAACACGTTTTGCACCATTCATGAGCTTACAACAGCACAGGACGGAATTATCTCGCTGCTGTCGTGGGCAAGCTCAACTTCACAGCCGTGCTGCTGTAGTTGGGGCCTCGAGTAATTTAGCACTTGTGCAACCAAGGCAGATCTGTTTGGGTGGCTGTGTGATAGTGATGATGGGTGATTGGGGAGTTTGAGGCGGGGCAGAGGAGAGGTAGGTGTCGCACACACCCGAGCAACGCAAGGCACTGTACACAACGAGAGCTTGTGCATGTGTTTCATCCTGGTTTCGTCAACAGCAGCGTGGCAATACATGGTATGCAAACACCCCAACTACAAGTAGGGTGAACTTCAGGTGCGGCTGATCCCGTCTGCTCGGAACACTGACTGGAACGGTTGCCGAAAAATCGCAGCAGCTTGTATTCGGCTCCTATGCTCTCAAAGCCTCCAAACATCGCTCGTGCATGTGTCCCTTGTCGACCTGCCTGGACTCAAAGACGAAAAATGAAGTGGAGAACTTCGTGAAAAGTTATCCCGCACACCCATCTAGATATAGAGGGAGCGTGTTGTAGGTGCTCTTGGATGGGTAGATCTGACTAGCTAGGGACTTCGCAGCAGAAGGTCGTTCCTCGTGCATACATGCAGTGCCCGGACGCAAAGCTTGCCCCCGCTGGGCCCTTAAGATTTTATCGCTTTCCACGCACAACAGTTGTATAGGGTACGTGTAGATACCCTCCCTCCGCACCGAAATTCTCCACGAAAATATATTGTGAGTCGGAGAAATGGCACCTGCGGGTTTCTTGGTGGTTTTTATCTCACCCCCCCGCGATCTCTCCGGCCGGTGCCATCTCTCCGATCCCGTTGCCGAAATGCAAAATCATGTCATCAAGCTTTTTTAAGGCACCCCGGTGCAATCTCTCCGACCGGTGCGATGCCCGATGAATTTTCACACAGCGGCTCCACTAATGTGATAGCAACTCGACGAGTATCGTCGCGTTGCCTGTCTGAAGGTTTCCATTTTTTTAGCGGTTAGTAATGTCGAGGGCGCACAACGCGACACGCTCGCTCACCGAGCACGACAAAGCTGTACACAGAGTAGATGACATATATATATATAAGATATCACACCCCCTTCAACGCTTGGTAATTTTCAAACCTCGATTACTCCACAGCAGAAAGCGTGGCCGGGCGGCGTTGGAACCGATAGCTTGCCGAAGACAAACGAATCGTCTGACATCCATCCTCCTCGTCGTCGTGGACTATCATTATTTGCTGCGATTGTTGATGAAGGGGTTATGATATATACTGTCCCCTACTCCAGGTACATGCCATGCACACATGTGATGCACAAGAATAAGGAGCTCCCTCCTACTCCAGTTAGTTACATAGTTGAATTGAAACCTCTCATTACACGTCCATGAAGAAGTCGTTTCTAAAGCAAAAAGAGGCAAAGAATATTAGAGGCTACCTCACGCGCACCCGAAAAACCGTCAGTATTCGACCGGCACTTCTCACTACGCCCATCCATACGTACAGTACGGGCCCGGAGATAAGAAACATCCAAATCGGGTTGAGGCTCAATCCCTTATTTTGGGTTGAAGGACTAGCCGAAGTCGTCCATTAAAAGCCATTTTTATTTCCTTTGGACCGTCGCATCCTCCTGATTTATTTATTTCCTATTTTCTTATTTCTAAGGATACATTTAATGCAGCATTAACCAGAAAGTTCGGTGTGGCGGACATTTGGGGTTGTCGCCCTCCGGGACTACCTGACTCCCTCTTCCTGGTCCACCTCCAGCAACACCCACGCCCCAATGGCCGCGGCTTCATCCGTGCTTTAGGCTAGAGATCCAAAGGCAACTTGACGCTGCGTGTGCTTCTATCCGAGTGCAGCGTGACGCGGTAGTCGTAGGTGCGACGCGAACTTTGGGATGCTCTATGAGTGATGAGTCCCCCGAACCAACCCAAACCAAGTTTTACGAGCACCCCTTGCTCCACAAAGGACTGGTCAAGGGCCGGCGGTCGAAACGCCTGGAGACGAAACACCATCCGGGACATCCATCCTGAGCATCTCCTCCTCAGACGAGAAATCGTCGTCGTCGTCGTCAACCTGAGCGAGGGAATCCTCATTATCGTTGCCGTCGAGGGAGGCGGCGGAGAGCGCCATCAAGACAGCATTTGGTGGTCCGTGATGTGCGGCGGTACAGCAGTACAGCACAACAGCAGCAGTGGGTAGCCTGCAGCGCAAACCGCGGTGGCGCTGGGGTGCGGAGGGCGCCGCGAAAAAACCATCCGCCCCCCCCTACAAAAAAAGATGCGCTGTTCACAGCTAGGTAGGAGGGTGGGGGCACGGAAGGAGCAGATGTTGGACGGAGAGTTGTTGGACACGCTCGCCCAGCTACCCCTTGTTCTTTATGTCTTGAGGTTATCGCACCATCATGTTTCTTTTTGGGACGTTTCTTATGTTGTGGCCGAGATTGAGCTGTGTTTCTTAGCCCTGGTTTCTTATTTTTCGTGAAAAGTTTAGTCTTTTTTTCTCAACATAATTTTTCTGAAGTGCGGGCCCGTACTGTATGCACTTTTTTGTGGCGAGCGACTCCATGCTGTCTTTCAAGAACCCTCTATTCATGTCGTTGATCTGTTTCTTTCGTTTACAACATGTAGTACTGCTGTAGGACGCACGATCACACTCGAATGAAAAGGAAACCACCAGAACGCGCTCTCCGCACGCTGAGAAAGAATCCGGCACTAAATGAATGCGGACCCCAGAAGGTGCACTTTTCACATTTGTTTTCCTCTCCGGAACGAAAGAGCTGGACGGGAGAGAAGGTAAAAAGTAGAGGCGTTCTCTGCACGATCAGGGCAGAAGGCCACCAGTCCCCGGTGCTCTTATGTTGCACCCACCCGTGGACGCATTAGTAGTAGCGCATGACTTGTAGTAGACCACTACTGCTGAACGTATTGGAGACCACGAATGAATCATACCGACAGGCAGGTGGGTTGTGGGTGGGCGGGGACCCTAAGAAACAGTCAGACACAGCCAGTACATCTTCACACTTTATTGCAAACAAGAACGAAGGGCGATAACAAAATAGAGACCGCAAGCGACAGGAAACAAAGAAATAAATGAGAGCAGCCTGAAGAAACAAGTGAAGAAACAAGTGAAGACACAAGGTATCCTTGCCTCTCTGACCCACCGGAAGCTTTCCGTGTACCGCAGCAAACAGCAGGGGCAGCGCCCACTTCCTCACATCTAGTAGCCGGGTACACCGACTGACTGGTACGTAGTAGGAGGTTAGTCTCCTTCTCGGCAAGAACAATAACGCCCGGGCGAACTTGAAGTTGTAGTCACAAGAAGAAAGAACATCATCATGACGCACCTCATTCTGCTTGCCGTGGGAGATGCGCATCGTTACGCGAAAAAGGCGTCAACCCCTCGCATAGAATATCCTGCCTCAGACCCTATCCCTCAATTTACACCACAGCTATACCCGATAGATACATCGTAGCATCACATCCAGCTGTAGAAGAATCGGAAAAAACTGTTTTCTTGCCAGTGGCGAAGCGGACCCTCTTTTTTGTGGCTCTCCAACTACTGTTCGCGGATGGCGACATGGCAACACAGACAGACAAATTCTAGGGTTTGACGTCGACCTTATCCGCCGCACGAGGTGGAGGAAACTCAAAGTCGGGGAGGGGTCGTGATTTGCAATTCCCTACTGAACCGTAGTTGAGGCGCCATGAGATTTGCACTTCTTGCGAGTAGGTTGTTAGTCGGCAGGGAAACACAAAATGCAAAATCTTCGGCGGACCGGACCCTCATTTTTTCAACGGGCATACTGCTGTTTGGATGGCGAGACCATTTCCGGTCTTCCTTGTCCGTCACAGGAGGTGGAGCTGATGCTCAAACTCGGGGAGGGGTCATGGTTTGCCGTTTTCCCTATCGAACCATACCCACTCGGGGCACAACGTCATGGACATGGCAAGAAAATCATCCCTCCAACGAAAACTGCTGAAATTAATGGGTGGGTGGGTGCGGGGGACCCCAAACCAATGAAACAGTCGCGGTTCGGGTTGTTCTGGGGGCCCCACCGGCGAAAACCCACCGTCGCCATTCTGAACCGGTAGAAGCTGTCACATACATGCAGCTGCATACATGGCACTGACACTGCATGCAGCGAACATTAGGGGTCATGCCCACTGCTTGACGGGAAGAGGCGGAGCCCATCGCCTCACGTGCAGCAGCCGGGTACACGGGAGCTTCCTACCCCGCAAGAAGAAAAACGATTGCTTCGTCGACGTTCGATGTTGTTGGGACCCTAACGGCGAAATGCGACAGAGAGAGAGGTAGACTGAAGGAAGAGAGACTCGAAAAGGCAAGGCATGAACTCTCGAGAAGACACTCACTCTCATGCCTCTGGCACACCGCAGGCACGTGTAACGAACGGCGACATCCGATGTGCGCTCAGCAACAAACACAACAAAACAAAATAGTCGTCGTTTCCGAACTGTGGGAGACTTTCTTTTGTTTCTGGTAGCAGACACGAACACGACTATCTGTGTATTCTAGACTAGAAGCACGACGGACGAACTATTATCTCAATGCGCTTACCGTCGCGATAGATGCGCATCGCTCCGCTACACGAACGAACAGACTGTTGTTAAACCTGACTACGATAACCTTACGACCATTGCAGCAAATTCCGAGCATAACAGCAGCAACCGCGGCAGCAGCCGCCGCTTGTGCACAACGGTCACTCAAGAACAAACGCAAAAAAAAAAAAATGTGGCGCGCAGCACGCAGGACCCTCTTTCGCTGTTCAATCGGCCGTTTTCATGGCGAAACAGGCAAGGAACAGTCAAGGTCCACTCTTGCCGGCCACAGGAGGCGGAAGCTGCTCAAAGTCGGGGACGGCTCATGATTTGTGATTCCACACCGAACCATACTCGGGGCGCCTCGAGATTTGCACTGTAGCTCGAGATCAGCATTTTAGACACTGTCGGGCAAGGGGTGGGGGATGCGAATGAAAGTTCCACCCACCCACGGATATTGAACGATGAGACTGAAGCTGGAGCTTCAAAAGTGTAGCACTACAATTATTGTAGTGCTCCGACGGTGTTCTTTGCACACTGCACACACCCCGGTGCCATCCCCTCGACCGGTGCTGTTCTCCGCCTCTGAAGTATTTGTACCAGTGCAGGTATTCACAAGCAGACGAATGTGCGGCGTTCCGTTCTAGGAACGTAGGCTGGGACGTACAGTAGCAGCTTTCCATGCGGCGAGTGGTCAGGGTTCGAAATCGAGTTTGGCTGTTGCTTAACAAGGAAAACAAGCGATGTGGTTTCCATCTGCGGTACCCGTACACACGGTACCGTATCAGGTTGTATCCCGCTTTGTTTCGTTTCGGTCTTCTACGAACACCAGCACGCAAGAAGCAGCACATTAGATTTACTCCCCTAAGGTCGGGGTAGGTCACGGCTCGTACGTTGTTGTAAGTACCATACCGACTAAATGAAAACAACAGGCAATTCCGCGTGAACCGCGCCGACCGTACATACATGAAGGAGTGGCGCTCCCCTGACACCGTCGCCACATGTAAAAGGGGGCACATGTACCTGCTTACGGCAGCTCAGAAAGACTTCAATCTTGGAATATGAGGGTCGATGAGATCGCACCGGGTGCGATCTCACGAAAAGCATTTTTATCATGCTGTTCGTGTTTTGTTTTCGCGCCCCGGTGCCATCTCTCCGACTCTTACGGTACACCAACGTACTGAAGAACTGTTCTTGAGTGCACCCTTCGGGGTTATTTGTACGATAAGCATCTATCTCTGACTTCCCCTTCTATCGACCTAGAAAACCTGACACGACGCATGCGCCCGCGTGGCCGTCGTTGTCCTTGCGCGTGGTACCTTGCCGATTAACCCTCCCTCCCTCCCTCCCTCCCTCCCGAAGGTAACGGGCTTCGTCCCGCGAGAGGACGGCGGACTCAGCGCCCTCGAAATGCACGGCCAGGTGAGCTCGAGCATTTTCAACATATGACTTTCACTGGTACGCTACACTGGTATTGTCTTGCTTAAGACGGCTGCGCTTCTAGCTACATCCCCGTGCCATTGCCCCGCGATCTGCCGCCGTTGCTGCGACTGTCGTGTCCGCACCAAACGCGGGGCAAATCCGTAAGGAATCTTGAGATATTTGGCGTTGAGACGTGCATCGCGGGGCGCACGCAGCTGTTCTACCTGCAATGAATGTGTGGAGAAGGGCGTGCTGTTGGCGTCTGTACAGATCCACTTCTCGACTGCTGTGCTCGTTCCCCTGGTGCAGCACGGGTTGCCATCGTACGCAGTCATTGCTAAAGATGGCGCCGAGGTTTTGCCGGAGCAGCAACCCCCCACCACAAACATCTCTGGCTTGTTCAAAACGAGCATGCCCACCCTTCCTCTCCGCCGCTCTCGTCCAATCGAAGCTCTTGGAGGGCGATGTCCTGACGCACCTTAATGGGAGCAACGCCCGCCTCCTGGACTTCACCGATATCCTCAAGGCCTGCAGGGGTCCCGATAGGGGAGGGCTCCCTCGCCCTCTCGTCATGAAGTTCTCGAGGTCAGAGCAGCGGACGTGTCGTGAGGGTCGCAATTTGCGCGATGCATCGTGTGCGTGTGTGTGTGAATGTGTCTTCCCGATTTTAGCGGCAGTGTTGGGAGAAGCCCGCTGCCGCAGTCGAGTAGCGTCGCTTCCGGGGCATGGCCGGGTTACCTGAAGGGGTCCCTTGGTTGGTGTGCTCCTTTCGTGTTTCTCGTAACACTCTTGTGTGGTCCAAGTAGGCGTGTCACTTCCCCCACACGGGCTGACCTTCCTCGACACAGCAGTTCTATATCCCGCTCTGCCTGCCCCCTTCGTGCTGTCTTTATTTGTTCCTACGCGTGTGAATCGTTGCGAATCCTCGGCCTGTTGAGAGAAGGTCAGAGGCGCTCTCGCCCCCCGCTTCTCCCGCGCCGTCCCCGCCCGCCTCGCCGACCGCTGAGCGAGGGCAAGCTTCCGCGGCAACCAGTAAGACTGATGCGGCAGGGGGCGGCGCTAGCGGCGGTGGCGGGGCTACAAGCGGAGCATCTTCGTTGCTGGCCGACCTTGATGACTTCATGGGGGGGTTAAGCTTGCCGGGGGGGGAAGCGCGAATTCCCGGAATGTCGCACATCAAGGTGTGTGTGTAGTCCGACTGTTTGTTGCTGCTCGCTCCCTGTGATGTTGTTGTGGCTATACGCTTGTCGATGGTGCTCGTGTAGCGCGGCACGCGTCTCGTCTGATGTTGAGCCAGCCCCCCCGTTGCCGTTATTGGTCCGGCAAGGATTCCCGGTGTCTCAAGTTGGACACGGTGCAACGATGCACGAAGCACATGTGTACAGCGAACAACCTCGTGACGGTAGATGCTCCGTTTGAGGTTCACCGTCAGCCCGTTTCAATACTTGTGTGAGCGCGTGATTTTTTCACATCTGTTCGTTGTTTTAGCTTCCGTCTTGATCCTTAATCCGCGCTTGACGGAATGATGACACCGCGCTAAGGAGATATTTGCGCGGCGTGGCGATATTGTTGTTGCTGCTGCGACTGCCGCTGATGCCGTCTCCGGAACATGTGGCTAACTCAACTAGGGAGTCTTTAGGGCCGAGCTCCAGGCCCAAGGCATGCTCGGCGGGAGCGGCGACGGCGGAGACGCCGGGGGCGACGCAGGAGGAAGCGGGAATAGCGGGGACTCCTCCCCGCCAGGCGAGGGTCTTTTCCTAAACATGTTGAGACGGTTGGAGAACGTCGATGTGGCGGGAGAGGACAGCCCCAGGGTGGCGGCGGCGGCGGCGGCGGCGGCGGCGACGGCGGCGGATGGTGTCGCAAACGGGTTTAATGGAGACGAGGGCAGGGGCGGGGGTGGAGATGGCGCAGAAGTAGCTGCTCGAGGCACCTATCATCAAGAAGTGGGGACACCGGGGGGGGGGGGGGGNGGGGGGGGGGGGGGGGGTCGGTTCCTCGTTCGCCGGCGTGGGCGCTAAGCTTCGCTCCAAGTTTAGGAAACCCGGCAGGGGCTTCGGGCTTCCGCAAGGAGTCGGTGGTCGAGGCGGCGGCGGCGGCGGCGGCGGCGGAGATCAGACGGTGGGAGGGGCAACGGAGGGCGTGGGAGAGGGCGGCAAGGCGTTCGTGGAAGGTGCTTCGAAGGCTCTGGCGGTGAACCGGGAGAGAATGATGGGCTGGATGAAGGAGCTGAGGCCCAAGGACTGGTCTCCCAAGGAGGCGGAACGAGCAGGTGGGTGGTGGTGGTTTGATCGACGGAGTTGTGTTGTTATATCCAGTAGCAGCGTCTTTCTCCGTGTGTTATTTGGGGTGGCTTCGCAACATGGAGATGTGCGACGGCCGGACCACGGATGCATCGCGCACTGACGTAATGGTCATTTGAGCCACCCTTCCCCCCCCCCCCCCCCCCCCCCCCCCCCCC